GGATTTGGATCTTTAATACAGAAAACATAAAATGTCTTATTTACAGCCTAGGATACTTTTTTTTCCGTGGGAAAAAATCACTGTTTGTATTTCTGAAAGACACTGCTCTTCCTCTCCCAAAATTGCTGACTACTTGATCTACTGAGAATCCAAGTACCACTTAAAGATTTAAATTGGACCAAAGTTTCTTCAAGTTTATGGATGAAATTTCTATGTGAATCAGAATTATAGCCAAAGAGTGAAGCAGAGCCTTTTACTTACTACACTGACTTTTATTCTGGATTTCAGATAATTATCAGAGAACTAATTTTAGACTTATTGTTAGTGGAATAGCTGTTTTTCCTCTAATATTTATGCAATTTAACTGAAAACTGAAATGGCAACCGTGGTTGCAGAGTTACTCACAAAGGACACGTTCATTCAGAGTAAAGTGAACAGAGCAAAGAACAGTTCACTGTCTTAGTTTGCCACAAAATTCTAATTCTGAAAGTGAACGATTCATGAAAAATGCTGGTCTATATTGTGACCATTAGTATCTACTAGGGAAAATAGTTGGCTCCCGCTCTCCACTGGTTCCTCATTTACAGTTCTAGTGCAATATACTCACTTGGTGTGTGTTCCAACAGGAATTGCTACTCTGCTTTTCAGTCATTTTCTTCTTCTTTTCTGGAATCTGTAATAATAGCGGCTCTTCTAAAGAAAGAAATACATTTTATTTCTTTATTGCAACTAGTTGAGTCATGCTCCACCATCAGCACTACCTTCCCTTCGTCTGTCCCTACTTTCCCTGCACCAGTTCCAGTTTGATTGTGTAATCTCAAGACTCACAATCACAAAGATCTTCATTCCGCATTTTTCTTTCCGTTCTACTTTTAACTCTTTCTGTACCCAAATAAATATTTTGGGACTATCTCTAGATTTTACTTTTTTGGTTGGTCATGGATTTAGTATTAAAGGTTAACAGAATTTTGCAAATACAGTGCAACAAAATTCTGATTAGATTTTAAGACACGTTTTATGTGTTTATAGGAGGGATGCCACCGGCTCATTTGTAGTGATGTAATAAAATCCAGCTATATCCAGATCTACTCAGCTGCACTGAGGAATGCAGAACACTTCTGGAAGAGCGAGGAGCACTCTACAGTCTCTTCAGGAGGTTGAGCCAGGTGTTGCCAGCACTCAGTCTGGTATGGAGACTTGCTGAAGAGTGAAATAAATGCATGCAGTCATCTTAAAAGCTTTAGAGAGGCAAAGCTCTGCAAAGCAGAAACCATTAGTGCTTTAGGGATGTGAGGGAGGTGACAAACACATGGCCTCATGCACAGTTCAGTTACTTGATCATTCGTAATATTTCAGTCAAAGTCTCTTCAAATTAAAGTATCACGACAGACAAAGGGTGAGACCTTCAGTATTTTAGCATAAAGATGGAACAGCTCAAACTCAAGTGTATGAGAGAAATATACCCTATCTTGCCCCCATCATTTTCTGCTTTTGTAATAAACTATTGTCTGGGCAGATGCAAGACGTCACTGCTGAGTGGCATAACCTGTAACTGTGAAAACTTCCACAGAATTATCAAATAGCCTGAGTTGGAAGGGAACCACAATGATCATCAAGTCCAACTCCTGGCCGTGTGCAGGACACCCCAGGAGTCACACCATGTGCCTGAGAGCATTGTCCAAATGCTTTTTGAAGTCTTTCAGGCTTAATGCTGTGACCACTGGGAAGCCTGTTCCAGTGCCCAACCACCCTCTGGGTTGAAAAACCTTTCATTGATATCCAACCTAATCCTCCCCTGACTCAGCTTCATGCCATTTCCTCGAGTTCTGTCACTGGTGACAAAGTGAAGAGATCAGTGCCTGCCCCTCACAAGGATTTTGAAGACCTCAGTGAGGTCTCCCTTCAGTTTCCTCTTCTCCAGGCTGAACACACCAAGTGACCTCAGCCACTCCTCATATGGCTTTCCCTCAAGGTCCTTCACCATTTTTGTTGCCCTCCTTGGATGCTCTAATAGCTTAATGTCTTTCTTATATTGTGGTGCCCAAAAGTGCACACAATATTTGAGGTGAGGCTGCCCCAGGGCAGAGCAGAGCAGGACAATCCCCTCCCTTGATCAGCTGGTGATGTTTTGCCTGATGCCCCCTGGACATGGTTGGCCCTCCTGGCTGCCAGGGCACTGCTGACTCATATTCAACTTGCCATTGACCAGAACTCCCAGGTCCCTTTCCACAACATTTCTCTCCAACCTCTCATTCCCCAGTCTGTACAGACATCCAGTACTGCCCCATCCCAGGTGCAGAATCCAACATTTTTCCTTGTTGAACTTTTTATGGTTGGTGATTGCCCAGTCCTCTCATTTGCCAAGATCTCTCTGCAGGGCCTCCCTGCCCTCAAGTGAGTCAACACCTCCTCACAATTTAGTGGTGTTGTTAAACTTGCTTAGTATCCCTTCCAGTCCTGCGCCCAAGTCATTAATGAAGATGTTGAAGAGCACTGGGCCAAGAACAGAGCCCTGTGGAACCCCACTAGTCACTTGACGCTATCCTGATGTTACCCTATTTTGCTATAATTCACTGTGAGCCAATTGCTCGCCCATCACGTACCATGGTTATCCAGCCGTGTGCTGGACATTTTGTCCAGAAGGATCCCATGAGAGACAGTATCAAGAGCTTTGCTGAAATTCAAAAAAGTTACGTCTACTGGCTTTCCTAGATAACTAGGTGGGTTACTCTGTTGTAGAAGGAAATCGGGTTCTACAAGCAGGACTTTCCCCTCATGAAGCAGTACTGGCTGTGACCAGTGACAGAGTTGTCCTCCAGGTGTTTTTCAGTACTTCCCAGAACAATATTTTCCATGACTTTACCAGGCACTGAAATGAGACTGATAGGCCTGTAGTTTCCAGGATTCTCTACCTTGAAAATCGGGACAACATTCACAAGCTTCCAGTCAGCTGGGATTTCTCCAGATTCCCAAGATCAATTCCCAGCTATCATTGAGAGAGATTTTGGGATGACATCAGCCAGATCTTTGAGGATTCTTGTATGAATCCCTTCAGGCCCCATAGATTTGTAGGGATTCAGATGGAGTAGCAGATGCAGAAGCTGAGGGTCAGCTGGGAGTTGATCATTCTTGCAATCCTCCAGCTCAGGGCACTGAGACCCCCTTGGTCCACCATCTGTGTTGAAGACAGAGGCAAAGAAAGCACTAAACCCCTCTGCCTTGTCTCTATCCCTGTTTGTGAGGTGAGCATCCTCATCGTGTAACAGGCAAATGTTTCTACACTGCCTTATGCCATTAATATCTTTGAAAAAACTTTCTATTCTTTCTGATTCACCTGTCACCTTACCTTGGGCACACACTGAACTGGATTATGTGAAAGCATTCGTGCTCAGTCAGCATTTATCTAGGAAACTGAGAGAGAATGTATCTGAATACTGGACTCTGTTAACTCAACACAACAGTGATTAAAGAGTAAATATAAGAGGAGAACTGGTTGCCTGGCTAGTGGCTCAGGACAGCACTTTCTCGGAGAGAAAGATCTTACCATATGATTTTATTTATTGATTACTGACCTTTTACAAAAATGTTTTGCTGTTTTCTGCCCTACTGGAAATCTATGGCTGAGTTTGCATTCCAGGTTTGGAAAAAGGAAGCAGTCCCTGGCTTTTTGGCAGGTGCTTAAAGCTTTCAGTGTTTGTGTTTAAGCATGAGCCCTGGTGTGAACAGGTGACTTGCACTACTGACCATGCCAGTGAGAGAAGATACACTCAGATGAAGGACAGCTATTAAAGTCCCTCTGTGTGTCTGTACATGCTGATCAGTCTCCTAGAAGGAGCTTTTCTTGCAGCTGAGTCTGTGTATCAACTTCTCCTACAAACTCAGTGTTTTTTCAAGACTCACTAATTAGAATCAGCGACTGAAGATATTTGGGTACTTTCTCTAAATAGGATGCTGATTAATTTCCTTTTCCTTGCCCTGAACTAATCTGATCCTCCTAAATAAATTGTATCCGGCTAGTTTTCTGTCAGTTTTGAGGGTTTTGCATCATCACTGAACCTTAACTATTTGGTATGTGTTCTGGTTTAAACAACCACCCATTTTGGGCAGTTACAATTTTCTAGAATGAGAAGAACTTCTTTGTCTTCTATGTGTTTCTGGGCATTCACTCTAAATGTGTTGCATTTATTTCAAAACCTCTTCTCACTATTTTGTAAAGACATGTTCTCTTCTTTCTACAATTTAAGAATGTTGGTCCTTTCTTACTGTGAGAAGGGGTTAAGTTAATCAGGATCTAGAAGGTGCCTGAGCTACTGAAAGATTGTACAATGAGTTCAGTTCTGAAAGATCTCTAAAGAGGCAGAGCTTGACTAGGGATGCACAGAATGTCAACAGAGAAGCAAAGACAATGCTGATGGAAATATTTGCATCTTACTTACCAGGGGAAAACCCCTTTTGTTTGAAAACCAGATCCTCTATACGTGGTAATGTAGAGGTACCCATTCAGAATCAAACTTCTTCACTTCAGTGCAAGGGGCAACATTCATCTTTGGAAGAAGCATGTGGATCTCAAGCAATCCCTTTGCAAGCATATAAAGAAAACCGAAGAGAGTAATGAATGCTGTGGTGCCCTTTTAGCAGTAAAACTATCCTTAGATGAGTATCCAGTAGTTGAATTTGTTAGATGAGATGGAGGAAATTACTCTAGAATGAATAGACAAGGCAAAGAACCCTGTTTTTCTGTAGCTTTGATAGGTCTGCTCAGACTGTATCAGTAAATACTGTTGCCATGAGAATAGCCATCTGTAAGATGTGGAATCAGTGATTTTTATCTGTTTGTCCAGAAGTATTGGAGGGAATATTACTGTGACTGCAACACTTGGCCTTGCAATGTTAGAGAAGAACATCTAACATTAATCACAGTTTGGCTTCACCTCCAAGGAAGGGGTGATTTTGCTGCCCAGGCTTGACTCTTCCTCAGAACCAATTAAGGTGAGTGAGGGGTGGGTCAGGCTCGTTAGCAAGTGCTGGGGGAGGCTATATAAGAACCTCCAGGAGAACTACTCAGCCATTTGCTGCTCAGGCTTGACTCTTCCTCAGAACCAATTAAGGTGAGTGAGGGGTGGGTCAGGCTCGTTAGCAAGTGCTGGGGGAGGCTATATAAGAACCTCCAGGAGAACTACTCAGCCATTTGCTGCTCAGGCTTGACTCTTCCTCAGAACCAATTAAGGTGAGTGAGGGGTGGGTCAGGCTCGTTAGCAAGTGCTGGGGAGGCTATATAAGAACCTCCAGGAGAACTACTCAGCCATTTGCTGCCCAGGCTTGACTCTTCCTCAGAACCAATTAAGGTGAGTGAGGGGTGGGTCAGGCTCGTTAGCAAGTGCTGGGGGAGGCTATATAAGAACCTCCAGGAGAACTACTCAGCCATTTGCTGCTCAGGCTTGACTCTTCCTCAGAACCAATTAAGGTGAGTGAGGGGTGGGTCAGGCTCGTTAGCAAGTGCTGGGGAGGCTATATAAGAACCTCCAGGAGAACTACTCAGCCATTTGCTGCTCAGGCTTGACTCTTCCTCAGAACCAATTAAGGTGAGTGAGGGGTGGGTCAGGCTCGTTAGCAAAGTGCTGGGGAGGCTATATAAGAACCTCCAGGAGAACTACTCAGCCATTTGCTGCTCAGGCTTGACTCTTCCTCAGAACCAATTAAGGTGAGTGAGGGGTGGGTCAGGCTCGTTAGCAAGTGCTGGGGGAGGCTATATAAGAACCTCCAGGAGAACTACTCAGCCATTTGCTGCTCAGGCTTGACTCTTCCTCAGAACCAATTAAGGTGAGTGAGGGGTGGGTCAGGCTCGTTAGCAAGTGCTGGGGGAGGCTATATAAGAACCTCCAGGAGAACTACTCAGCCATTTGCTGCTCAGGCTTGACTCTTCCTCAGAACCAATTAAGGTGAGTGAGGGGTGGGTCAGGCTCGTTAGCAAGTGCTGGGGAGGCTATATAAGAACCTCCAGGAGAACTACTCAGCCATTTGCTGCCCAGGCTTGACTCTTCCTCAGAACCAATTAAGGTGAGTGAGGGGTGGGTCAGGCTCGTTAGCAAGTGCTGGGGAGGCTATATAAGAACCTCCAGGAGAACTACTCAGCCATTTGCTGCTCAGGCTTGACTCTTCCTCAGAACCAATTAAGGTGAGTGAGGGGTGGGTCAGGCTCGTTAGCAAGTGCTGGGGAGGCTATATAAGAACCTCCAGGAGAACTACTCAGCCATTTGCTGCCCAGGCTTGACTCTTCCTCAGAACCAATTAAGGTGAGTGAGGGGTGGAGTCGAGCTCGTTAGCAAGTGCTGGGGAGGCTATATAAGAACCTCCAGGAGAACTACTCAGCCATTTGCTGCCCAGGCTTGACTCTTCCTCAGAACCAATTAAGGTGAGTGAGGGGTGGGTCAGGCTCGTTAGCAAGTGCTGGGGGAGGCTATATAAGAACCTCCAGGAGAACTACTCAGCCATTTGCTGCTCAGGCTTGACTCTTCCTCAGAACCAATTAAGGTGAGTGAGGGGTGGGTCAGGCTCGTTAGCAAGTGCTGGGGAGGCTATATAAGAACCTCCAGGAGAACTACTCAGCCATTTGCTGCCCAGGCTTGACTCTTCCTCAGAACCAATTAAGGTGAGTGAGGGGTGGGTCAGGCTCGTTAGCAAAGTGCTGGGGAGGCTATATAAGAACCTCCAGGAGAACTACTCAGCCATTTGCTGCCCAGGCTTGACTCTTCCTCAGAACCAATTAAGGTGAGTGAGGGGTGGGTCAGGCTCGTTAGCAAGTGCTGGGGGAGGCTATATAAGAACCTCCAGGAGAACTACTCAGCCATTTGCTGCTCAGGCTTGACTCTTCCTCAGAACCAATTAAGGTGAGTGAGGGGTGGGTCAGGCTCGTTAGCAAGTGCTGGGGGAGGCTATATAAGAACCTCCAGGAGAACTACTCAGCCATTTGCTGCCCAGGCTTGACTCTTCCTCAGAACCAATTAAGGTGAGTGAGGGGTGGGTCAGGCTCGTTAGCAAGTGCTGGGGGAGGCTATATAAGAACCTCCAGGAGAACTACTCAGCCATTTGCTGCCCAGGCTTGACTCTTCCTCAGAACCAATTAAGGTGAGTGAGGGGTGGGTCAGGCTCGTTAGCAAGTGCTGGGGGAGGCTATATAAGAACCTCCAGGAGAACTACTCAGCCATTTGCTGCTCAGGCTTGACTCTTCCTCAGAACCAATTAAGGTGAGTGAGGGGTGGGTCAGGCTCGTTAGCAAGTGCTGGGGAGGCTATATAAGAACCTCCAGGAGAACTACTCAGCCATTTGCTGCCCAGGCTTGACTCTTCCTCAGAACCAATTAAGGTGAGTGAGGGGTGGGTCAGGCTCGTTAGCAGAGTGCTGGGGAGGCTATATAAGAACCTCCAGGAGAACTACTCAGCCATTTGCTGCCCAGGCTTGACTCTTCCTCAGAACCAATTAAGGTGAGTGAGGGGTGGGTCGGGCTCGTTAGCAAGTGCTGGGGGAGGCTATATAAGAACCTCCAGGAGAACTACTCAGCCATTTGCTGCTCAGGCTTGACTCTTCCTCAGAACCAATTAAGGTGAGTGAGGGGTGGGTCAGGCTCGTTAGCAAGTGCTGGGGGAGGCTATATAAGAACCTCCAGGAGCGTGAGCGAAGTTCGCTCACGCACCCCCACAGGAGTAGACTAACAGGGTGTGGCACAACAATTTCAAGGCATTTCAAGCCTGCAGGGCACGACCAGCTCCCTTTTCTTGTAGGTGAGTGTGCTTTCTAAAGCTAACAATGGTTTCCAGAAAAACAAAAACTGTTACTGCTGTTAATACTAGGAGTGTGTTTGCTCAGACACTCCCCTCGAAGAAGGATGCAGCCACCCAGGTCTCTGGGTGTGCTGAGTGTCTGAGCCTGACGTTGGTACCGGAGGATGGTGTAGGAGGTAGCTGTGTACGATGCGAGCAGGTGAGTGATTTGCTGTGCCTTGTAGCAGAACTTAAGGAAGAGGTAGAGAGATTAAGGTGCATTAGGGAGAGTGAAAAAGAAATTGACTGGTGGAGTCAAACCCTTTTAAACCCTAAGGAAGTCCAACAGGAGACGGCGAAGCCCTGCCTCTCCTGCCATAAGACAGATGGAGCAGACCAAAATGATGGGGGGGAATGGAAACAGGTCCCTAATGGGAGAGGTAGAAGAATTCTTTCTAGACCCCCATCACCCCTCAGGGTGCCCTTGAAGAATAGATACGAGACTCTGGACCCAGACAGTCAGGTAGAGGACAGCCAAGATGATCCCTCTAGAGAGCCTCCTTGTTTGGCCCCGTCCAAAAGACGGATTACAACCACAGGTATAAAAAAAAAAAGAAGGGTAGTTGTAGTCGGTGACTCCCTTTTGAGGGGAACTGAGGGCCCTATATGTCGCCCAGACCCATCCCAGAGAGAAGTATGCTGCCTTCCTGGGGCCAGGGTGAGGGATATTAGTAGGAGACTTCCTGAGTTAATTCAGCCCTCAGACTATTATCCTCTGGTGGTAGTCCAGGCTGGCAGTGAGGACATTAATCAAAGAAGTGCCAAGATAATTAAAAAAGACTTTAAAGCACTGGGTCAGTCAGTTCAGGGGACAGGAGCACAGGTGATATTTGCCTCAGTTCCTGTACTATCTGGGATGGATGAGGAGTTAAATAAAGAGAGGAGTAAAAAAGCCCAACTCCTCAACAGATGGCTAAAGAATTGGTGCCACCATCAAAATTTTGGTTTCTTTGACCATGGGGCAAACTCCATGGTACCTAGTTTCTTAAAATCAGATGGGATTCATCTTTCTAGGAAGAATAAGAGGACTGTAGCCCATAAGTTAGCGAGGCTGATTAGGAGGGCTTTAAACTAGGTTTGAAGGGGGAAGGGGTTGAAACCGGGCTCTCCAGTGATCAGCCTAAGGATGGAAAGCCTGAGTTAAGAATTAAATCAACAGCCCACCTGAAGTGCATGTACACTAATGCACGCAGTATGGGCAACAAACAAGAGGAGCTGGAGGCAATTGTGCAGCAGGAAGGCTATGATGTAGTCGCCATCACAGAAACATGGTGGGATGACTCGCATGTCTGGAGTGCTGCTATGGAAGGCTATAAGCTCTTCAGGAAGAACAGGCAGGGGAGGAGAGGTGGAGGGGTGGCTTTATATGTTAGAGACTCTCTGGACCCTGTTGAACTTGAGGTCAGCAACAATAAGGTTGAGTGCCTGTGGATCAAAATCAGGGGGAAGACCAACAAGACTGACATCATCATGGGTGTCTGTTACAGACCGCCCTACCAGGATGATGAAGGGGATGAATTATTCTACAAGCAGCTGGCGGATGTCTCAAAATTGTCAGCCCTTGTCCTTGTAGGTGACTTTAACCTGCCGGATATCTGCTGGGAGCTCAATACTGCAGAGAAGAGGCAGTCTAGGAATTTCCTGGAGTGTATAGAGGACAATTTCCTTCATCAACTGGTAAATGAACCTACCAGGGGTAAGGCCCCGCTAGACCTGCTGTTTACAAACAGAGAGGAGCTGGTGGGAGATATAGTGGTTGAAGGCCGCCTAGGAAATAGTGATCATGAAATAATAGAATTTTCAATACTCAGAGATTCAAGGAGAAACAACAATAAAACCTCTACGCTGGACTTTCGGAGGGCAGATTTTGACCTATTCAGAAGTCTAGTCCAGAGCATACCCTGGGAAACAACCCTTGAAAACAAGGGAGTCCAGGAGGGATGGATGTGCTTCAAACAGGAAGTTTTGAGTGCACAGGAACAGGCCATACCGGTGTGCCGAAAGGCAAGCCGGCGGGGAAGACAACCAGCCTGGTTAAACAGGGAGATTCTGAAGGAAATCAGGGATAAAAAGAGAGTTTATCGACTATGGAAGAGAGGGCTGGCTACTTACGAAGAATTCAGGAAGACAGCTAGATCATGCAGAAAGAAAATCAGGGATACAAAAGCGCAATTTGAAGTTAAATTGGCCACTTCTGTTAGGGATAACAAAAAGTCCTTCTATAAATACATTAATAACAAAAGGAGGGGCAAAGAAAACCTCCATTCTTTGATGGACTCGGAGGGAAACATAGTTAATAGAGATGAGGAGAAGGCTGAGGTACTTAACACCTACTTTGCCTCAGTTTTTACCAGTAAGACAGGTGGCCCTCAAGGCAACTGGCCTCTGGAGCTGGTAGACAGAGAGAGGAAACCAAATAGCCCCCCTGTATTCCAGGAGGAAATAGTTAGTGACTTACTGAGCCACCTGGATCCTCACAAGTCTATGGGACCAGATGGGATCCATCCTAGGGTAATGAGGGAGCTGGCAGAAGAGCTTGCCAAGCCGCTCTCCATTATCTTCCAACAGTCCTGGCTCACTGGGGAGGTCCCACATGATTGGAAGTTGGCAAATATCACCCCAATCCATAAAAAAGGCTGCAAGGCTGACCCTGGTAACTACAGGCCTGTCAGCCTGACCTCGGTGCCTGGCAGAGTTATGGAACAGATCATCCTGTGTGCAATCACACAGCACCTACAAGATGGACAAGGAATCAGACCCAGCCAGCACGGGTTTAGGAGAGGCAGATCCTGCTTGACCAACCTGATCTCCTTTTACGATCAGGTGACTCACCTGGTGGACGAGGGGAAGGCTGTGGATGTGGTCTATCTGGACTTCAGCAAAGCCTTTGACACTGTCTCCCATAATATACTCCTGGAAAAGCTGGCAGCCCATGGCTTGGACAGGGGCACTCTGTGCTGGGTTAAGAACTGGCTGGAGGGCCGGGCCCAGAGAGTGCTGGTGAACGGGGCTGCATCCAGCTGGCGGCCGGTCACCAGTGGTGTCCCCCAGGGATCAGTGCTGGGCCCAGTCCTGTTTAACATCTTTATCGATGACCTAGATGAGGGGATTGAGTCCATCATCAGCAAATTTGCTGATGACACCAAGTTGGGAGGGAGTGTCAACCTACCAGAAGGCAGGAGGGCTCTGCAGAGGGACCTGGATAGACTGGAGAGATGGGCTGACTCCAATGGGATGAAGTTCAACAAGGCCAAGTGCCGGGTCCTGCACTTTGGCCACAACAACCCCTGCAGCGCTACAGGCTGGGGACAGAGTGGTTGGAGAGCAGCCAGGTGGAAAGGGACCTGGGGGTGCTGATTGACAGGAAGCTGAACATGAGCCAGCAGTGTGCCCAGGTGGCCAAGAAGGCCAATGGCATCCTGGCCTGCATCAAGAACAGTGTGGCCAGCAGGAGCAGGGAAGTGATCCTTCCCCTGTACTCTGCGTTGGTGAGGCCGCACCTTGAGTATTGTGTTCAGCTCTGGGCCCCTCAGTTCAGGAAGGATATTGAGGTGCTGGAGCGGGTCCAGAGAAGAGCAACCAGGCTGGTGAAGGGACTTGAGCACAAGTCCTATGAGGAGAGGCTGAGGGAGCTGGGATTGTTTAGTCTAGAGAAGAGAAGGCTTAGAGGTGACCTCATCACTCTCTTCAACTACCTGAAGGGAAGTTATAGCCAGGTGGGGGTTGGTCTCTTCTCCCAGGCAACCAACAACAGGACAAGGGGACATGGGCTCAAGCTCTGCCAGGGGAAGTTTAGGTTAGATGTTAGGAAGAAATTCTTTACAGAGAGGGTGATCAGGCATTGGAATGGCCTGCCCAGAGAGGTGGTGGATTCACCATCCCTGGAAGTTTTTAAAAAGAGATTGGACATGGCCCTTAGTGCCATGATATAGTAATTAGAGTTGGATCAGGGGTTGGACTTGATGATCTTGGAGGTCTTTTCCAACCCAATCTATTCTATGATTCTATGATTCTATGATTACCTTTACAAGGAGCTGGTATGGTTATCATGTTATCCTCATGCTAAAGCCAGGCATATCCCTGCTACTGAGTGGTCACTCTACAGCTGTTCATCAAATTTACAAACAAGCAGCATCAGAATCGCATCTCCTTCCTTGCTCCCAAACAGTTCTATCTCACCAAGCTTCTCCCAAAGGTGCCACTGCATGCTAATGAATGGGATTAGCCCAGACACACAGTGCCACAGGGTGTTATGGTTTAGGTTATTAATTTTCTGCTGTTTTGCATCAAATGTTTTTCCTTCTTTTCTCTCTAGACAACAGGTGGGACTAATTGCACCACCTAGGGCCAGGAAAATGATTAACCCCCCCCAAAAACAAACAATAGAAAACCCCCAGACTGAAATACTGGATTGTGCTTCTATCTTCACAGTTACTGAAATCCTGTAAACAATGTTACAGATGTACCTCAAATTAAGTTCCCCCATTCAGGAAGGAAACTTGCTGCTTCTCCTCAGTAAAATCAGACTCTTTTTTATTCTTACTGGAAGTGCTAAGATTGATGAGTTCCTCTCTATGCTGAGAGAACTTCGCAAAGGATGCACGTTGCCATCTATATCCAATCCTGCAAGAGCAGAAGTTATGTTGTACAAAGTAAGCAAACTTCCTATTTCTAAAATATCCTTTGGATTAAATAATAATAATAATAATGGCCAGTCTTCGCGAGCGAAGATCCGGGGAAGGTCTTTACACCTTCCAGCCTGCGCATTGGATTTTTTAGGTGAGACACAGTGTGCGCGGAACTGAGCCCACCCTTTAATCCTAAGGTTCATCTGCCGGGGCCA